GGGGCTGGGGAATTCTGGGAGTTGAAGTCCAAGCATCTTAAAGCATGGGGGCTGGGGAATTCTGGGAGTTGAAGTCCAAGCATCTTAAAGCATGCTGGCTGGGGAATTCTGGGACTTGGAGTCCATGCATCTTAAAGTTGTCAAGTTTGAGAAACACTGCTCCAGTGGATCCTGCACCAAACAGGGGCTGGACTGGATGACCTCAGAGTTCCCTTCCAGCGCTCTGATTCAGTTATTCTCAGTGACCTCGTGCGTGGCTACAGTATTTGTGTCATTTGCAACCCGAAGGGCAAAACTGGAATCCTAAAATCCTTATGCCAATGGCATAAATGGCCCCAAATGATGTAAACATGAAATTAATGTAAAGGTAAATGATTTGTGTAGATTACTTCACATGCAATGAATTTATCTGTTAAATTGGGAGGAGATACGATCATAGAAAGGCGGTCCATTGCATCTTCTAAAGGGGGGGGGGCGTGAAACTGACATTTGGCCCTAATGACCTCACAATACAGCTTCTGATGGGCCGAAGTGACGCTGAAGATTTTATATTGTATTTTCATTGATTTTATCCCCTCTGTAAACCACCCAGAGTCGCTTTTCAACGAGATGGGCGGTGGCAAATATGATATACGTAAATATAAATATTGTCCTGGCCAAGCAGGAGATACAGATCAGGCCTCAGTCCCCCACCAACCCATGGCTCCCCCACCACCACCGCGAAGCCTTTGGCACTTACAGCCGGTCATAACACAGAACCGAGTCCAGAGTTTGCTCTCCTTCCTTTAATTCTTTCCCCCCGACCACAAAGATGGAGTTTTCTGCTTCTCCAAGTCCGAACAGGCAGCGGGGGGACGGTAGCGGGGGCATTCCCAGCCAATCCGAATCCAGGTGGTCGTACTGCCAAAGAAAGAGAAGACAGCCATGGGAGACCTCCTCCCTGCCCACCAGTCCTATCAAAGCAGCCCTGTCCTTCTTTCACGGAAAGCCACCCAGTTTTTCCGCAGCATTTCTGACTCGCCCCACAATCAGGGTATTCAGGATGATGGTTTAACTGTAGTTTGGGGGGAGCCTTGATTTGGAGCCAGGGAACAGACTGAGAAAGGGGACAGTACACCGTGGGCTCCTCCACAAAATGGCTGCCATGGAGGAGGGGTCTTGCTTCATCTCCCAACGGCTGTTGGCAGGGAGGGGGGTCAAAAAAGTCCAGGTGGTGGCCAGGGTGGCACTATTGAAGCCCTGCCTTTGTGCACCACACATGGTAAAGTAGGATAGGGCTTTGATCATGCATTCACAGAAGCCATCTTGATTTTTCTGACCCCTCGCTGCAGCCATGGTGGCCAGAGCCATCTCAAAATGTCTGTTTTAGAAGGCAAATTGGTAAGGTTGCTTCGGACCTTTCTTGCCAGCTCCTTGGGATGCTAACCAGGGGTCTCTGCAGGGTCTGGTCGAAAAAGTCAAGATGGTGACTGCAACGGTGTGATCGAAACATTGATCTCAGCGCTTTGGCCACCATCTTGGATTTTTTGACCACAACTTGTGGGCAACGCTGATGCTTACCTTTCAAAGGTGGACATATTTCTTAACAAAGAGTTGAACTGCTCCTGCAATGTTTGGATGTTTGAATGTTTGAATGTTTGAATGTTTGAATGTTTGAATGTTTGAATTTTTGAATTTTTGAATTTCTGAATTTTTGAATTTTTGAATTTTTGAATTTTTGAATTTTTGAATTTGTGTTTTCTAAGCATGCCTCCTAGGACCATGTCAGGCCCAGCTTCATGCAGAAAATAAACGGAGCTAAGGTTGATGTTTTGCCTTGCAGTCTAACCATTTCTCATTTACAACAAGAATATAAGGAACAGATGGAAGTTAGGTGAAGAAGATACTCTGGTAGATGGTTGCAAGAGAGGAAGCTGTTGGAAACTATCCTGTTGCTGCTTTTATTACACTTTAGAACAGTGTTGTCCAAACTTGGCCACTTTAAGATGAGTGGACTTCAACCCCAAGAATCCCCCAGCCAGCCATGTTGGCT